ATCTTGAGCTTGGGGGAAGTGCTGCTTGGGCCCTGCTACCTTCCAGGCCCCTAACCCATGGGATCCCTCCGAGTAGGTCCCTGAAGAGGTCAAAGTTACCTCTCCTGAAGTCCAGGGTTGTAATGCTACTGATTGCCCTGCTTCTTCCACGCAGGATCTTGAACTCCACCATCTCATGGTCACTGCAGCCAAGGCTGCCCCCACCTTCACATCCCCAAACAGTTGTTCTTTGTTTTTTGTTTTTTCGTGAATAGCATTATACTTTGGACTTGCTTTGGAGCTTTACATCTCTTCAGTTTCATACCTATAGTAAGCCCTGGGGATCACACCTCAGTGACAAATTCTGGAGGCATGAATCTGTCTAGATAGAAGACCTATGCATGTTAGTATCTAGATTCTCATGAGGTTACTTGCTCAAGCATGTTGTTTAGTCAATGACACAGCCAGTTTTCATTGAATTACAGAAATAATTTACAATTAATTAATTTAGGCAGAAGGATAGATCTCAGATCAAGCAATGAACAAGATCAATGTACTTCCCAGTCCTCTATTCCTTTTGCCAATATAAAAATCTTTAAACATTCTGGTTTTTGTTTAAAACAGGATCAGATGTGCTAATTAAATCTTAAAGTGCACCATTATAAAGATAGAAATTTAAACCTTGCTGAAGAAGTGCTGGTCTATCTTCTTCCCCTCACTTATAGGGGAAGTTAAAAACTAGCTTCTGCAACAGATACTGTTCTGTGCCTCTTGTGTACATCTGCCAGATACCAAGATGAAATTCTTTTGTAGCATAGGTGGTAATAATGGAAAAAGGGAACATTAAAATAATTTGGAGGGTATTGCTTTTCATATTAATGAAATTTTGGGTCTTCCTTTAAAAAAAAAAAAAAAAAAAAAGATGTAGGCAGCATGGTTTGAACCAGAAAGTAGCAAATGCTGTTTTAAGAATTCTTTACTCACTACCAATACAAAACGTTTGTAGACGTTTCAATGCAGGCCCTGGTCTGCAGGTATCAGGGTACCAAGTATCAACTTAAGAACTTTCAATACATTGGTATGTAACTCTTGTTGCCTGGTTAGAAGTATTTGTCTTCTATAGATTTGCTACTCATACTGAAGCAAAACGCCAATAGTATAAAAGGAATTATTAGAATTTGTTACTCTAGTGCAATGGTTTGATGCACAGGGAGGAATTCAGTGTAGAGGTGAGCTTGAAAGCATTTCCCTTGTTTCAGATGGACAGACTTTTCCAAGGTTCTACTGGGAAGAGCTATGCAGTAATCTTAAACTCAGGACATGCTTCTCTAGACAAGTATTGAGAAACAATAGAAAGGAACTCAACTATACCCATTTTCAAAGTAAGTGAGCCCTTTTTGGTAATGACACTTGGATAATGGTCTGCATGCTGACAACTTACAGCAGGCATGGATTTGTAAATTTGTTTCTTCCTCATGCATCTGAGAGTGCTTTTTCTAGCAAATACTATTCCTTCCTATCTTAGAATCTGGAGTTATCAGTATTACTTCCAAAAATGGAAATTATATCAGTTTCCAACAGGTACAACAAATGTCAAGTTATCATTGAGACTTAAAACTTTTTCCTTGTAGGTTGCTCTTCCAAGCAAGATCATCTTCTAGTATCTTTTCAAAAGGACTTGCATCAGTGTATCCTCTGCTGGTTTTTTGCTTTGGGGGGTGGGGAGGAAGGAAAAGAGGAGCAGCAAAACTTGCTCTTAACCTACAGAGGAAACAGCTTTACACAAAAGGATCATAGTTATTTTAAGACCTTAAATAGCCCTTGTAATTGAAGTTCTTTTTGGCAGGTTATAGAACGGAATAAATTTCATTTCAAGATCAGCTTTTCCAATTCATTTAAAACTTCACTGGTATTATGTTCTTCCTGCTTACAATAGGCTTTTGCATGGCAAGCCTGCTTGTGAAGGTCTGGGTATACAGATATAAGTACAGTGTTGTGATAAGGGTGTAGGGAGGATTAAAAAAAAAAAAAAAGACTGATAAGCATATAATGCACATGGAGGGAAAGACTTCTACCCTAGTCAAAGATGAATGTACTTACAGTTTCAGCACTGCCAAGTCAATGTAATAACTATCGTATGGTTGAAGGAATCTGAATGCTGTCATATTTCACTTTATTTTCCAGCTCCCTGGGGAAGGGGTGGCAAAATGTATAAAGTGTGCAATATTTTGGGCCTACTTCACTGGAAATGGTTAGTCCTAGACAAGGACATAAAACTAATACCAACAGGATTATTATGATGACTACCAAGGAAAAGAATGCTGTGAACATCTTAGTCTACAAAAGGGCCTACCTTTCCACTGCTGAAACACTACTTAAAGCACACTATTTCATACCCGTGACCTTTCAGCTCAGAAAATCTAAAAAGAGAATACAGGCAGCTGCGGGGGGGGTGGGGAATAAAATGTCTGAAAGTCTCACAGCCTTTTCTAGTTCTTTTCTGTAAAGTGGCAAAACACTCAAGATTCTTTCCTTTTTGTCCCTTCTCTTGTGTGCATGTTCTTTCACCTGAAAGCTTCTGAGTCATTTAAGAGATAGCCATACTTAAAGAAACAATCAGGTTCAGGACAGATTCCAAAAGAGTTCTCTGTTCACTGTTCAAAAGAGAATTGAAAAAAACAATTCATGCACTGCTTCAGTAATTCAGAATCTTTCTTCCATACAGTAACTTATTAATGAATTTTTCAACAAATATTTCAACAGCATATTCATAGCATTTATTTACTATATAGAAATTATTTCCAGATGAGTTGTGTCATTTAGCTCAAACACCGTATTGCCTGCTGTTTTAATAGAGGGGTGAAAAATTGGTTGTTTGAGGATCAGCTAAGGATTAAACACAGAACTTCAGTTTCGAACAGAAACACAAGAATTTTGACAAGTTTTAGAAGATGCAATATTAAATATCTTTGCCTCATTCTGATTGGGTAGGGGTGGGAAGTCCTATCAGTACCTGTATTATCACTGATTCTGTATGAAATAGGGTCTCAGCATGAAATACTGAGCTACATGAAAGATAGCTTTCAGAAGATTAAAACACACTGGCAAGGGAACAATCAGCCATTTTAGTTTAGGTGAGTAAAAATATAATCATTAAGTTTATTTTTAATTTCTTAGAGTATAATCAGCACAAACAATGAGTTCTTACTGAGGACTGAACATCTAACAAGAAAAAATAATCCATCAACTAATCAATCAAGTCAGTCAGGCACATTTCCCCAAAATGCAGAATAATTCACTGCCTATAAAATAGACAGGAGGATGGATATAGAGAAGTCTGAATAAAACTTGAAAATTTTTTATTTACTCCAAAATATCATTGCTAATTCAAATGCAAATTTAGAAATAGCATTAAAAAAAAGAAAGCATATTCAAATAATTTTCAGTTCCTTCCAGTAGAACCAAAGCCACCTTCGCCACGTTCTGTATCATCTAGAACCTGAAAGACATCAATTGTGATAAGCTGGTTTAGTGTCTTGCCTTTTGTTTCTATACAACAGATATTGTTTATCATAGAGGAACATACATTCATGCATAACAATAGCTATAATTGAGAAACTAAACCAAAAAACTTTTGAGAGACATTTTAGAGTATCTTTTGTACAAGTGTAAACAAATTCCACATTGTGAAACAACTGTTTCTACTACATACTGAAGTGTTTCTCACGTACCTGTTAACTCTGAAAACAAACAATAAATGCATGCAAAGCATCAAGATTTTTATTCAGGTAGCAATGCTACTATGCAGTTTTAACACTGAAAGTAGTTTTAAAGTATTTATCTAGACCATAAATTTCAGCTTATATACAACTATCTTAAACTATTAATTATTGAAAATAGCAGAAATATTTTCTTTTGGCAACTTACTTGAACTTCTTCTAGCTCAGGATAGCAAATGCGTTCACAGATGAGCTGGGCAATCCTATCCCCTTTTTTAACTGCAATAACGTTAAAATATTATTAGTTCCTTCAAAAAAAGTGAACAATGAATACAAAATTTAGACAATCCACTTTCAAGAGTATCAGAATGTACTGAAGTGTAAACACCTATTTGAAACTTAGTTAAGCAGATGTTAGTAGTCCCAGAAAAATACAGGCTGACCTAAACTTGTGCTTAGTCCTTTTAAAGTGAAGTTTCAGCAGCAGTACCAGCTCGAGGCATCTCCTCTCATTCCTGCAGCCATACTGTGGCACTTGAAGTGTCATTATGCATAAATACTGCAGAGATGGAGGGACAGCTGTATGTATAATGTGGCTCCTTTTGTGAACTAGACTCAGGAACTGATTTCTCTGGGGGAAAAAAACTGAACTGATAAAAGGAAAACAAAATTTGGCTACTAACCATAATCTCATTCATGGAACTTCAATAAGAAGCTTGTACTGTGAAGTTGCAGAAAAGGCTGCAAAAACATCAGCAACATGTAACTGGGCCCTGAGGATTAAAACTGACTGCTAGCAGAGAGACAACATGATTAAGGGAAAATCTTGTCTTTATTGCTCACGTTTCCTAGGATCCTGGAGAAGTTTTTATCTCAAATACTGCTCAGATAAATTTTTACTTGTTTTTCAGAGCAAGAAAGAAGCTTAATACAAAAGTTGCACTTCAGTACAGCTCATGAATCTAAAGCTTAGCTAAGTAGGTTTTGTTTTGGGTTTGCGGTGGTAGTGTGTTTTGCTGGTTATTGGTGGGTGTTTTTTGGTTTTTTGGGGGTTTTTTGTGTGTGGTTTTTTTTTTTTTTCCTGCATGCTGCCTAATTTCCCAGGAGTGGAATCTTTTTGTGTTTCCTTGACAGGGCATTGTTAAGTTTCCATGGTTTTGTTAATTTAAGAAGAAAAATGTTCTCAGCTAATTGTAACTCTTCATAGACTTTTAAAGAAAAATTAGTTTCTCATTTCCAGTCAAATGGCTGCAAACAGGCTCTGCCAAGCTTAACACTTACCTTCAAAAGACTCCTTGCCAAAGTTGAAGAGTACCACACCAACATTTCCCCTGTAATCCTCATCGATAACACCAGCTGTCATAGGAAAGAATTAAGAGAGCCGGTTACTAAATGTTGTCAGTATGTTAGACAAGTAGATTAGTTAAGATTTAGATTAGTAGATGACTGCAATATCTCATATTGACATCCTTTATACTACTCATGCACAATTAAATAATATATATGAAAATACTGAAATACCTAAAAATGCTAATCAATCTTGCAAAAAGAACTGAAAACCACCATCACATATCAAGAAGTGTTTTACCTCTGTATTACTACTTTTAGCTGTAATACCCTATCTGAAATCAAGACAGCAAGTCCAAATTCAGGCTCCATTTGTTCTGCTAACTTCAGCTCTTTGAGCATCAAGCAGAAATCTGTTCTTAAATTTAACATTTCATTTGAGAGCTATGGGTTTGCAGAGATCTAAATCCTGTATCTCAGACAGGGTAACAGAACTTAAAGCTTTAAGGAACTGATTGTAATTCAGCTACATTCAAGTGTCAATACTGTAAAGCAAGCTTGCTCTTATATTTTATATAACCATATTAACTACATACTTCAGGAGATTATCTACCGATACACATTAAAATAATATTTTCCTTTTTTGGAGTTTTTCTCTCAGATACAGGAAAGCATACTTCCAGTAGAAAAAACAGAGTTTGGGCTTCCTTGTGGACTAAAGTATGTATTTTGAAGTCTACTTGCAGAAATAATTAAAATACTAAAATTACGCGTCATTCCAAGACAATCCCAGACTGATACGTACAAAGTACCTCTGGAGACCAAAAACACCAGAGGAAATTGTAGTATGACTATACCTTGAAGTTTTAATGTTGAACGACAACATACACACTTAAGAACAGAAAACTGAGGGGTTTTTTTTAGTTTCTTCAGCTGTGTGAAAATATGGCAGTACATATGGTCCATAGTTACTATACAATCTAGTGTGAAAAAGGTATTTATATAGCTCTCTCTCCCTTGTAATGTTGTGGGTTAACCCAATCACATTTTTGAACAGCTTCCTAATTAAGCTGCTAGTAACACTGGCAGTGTCAGAAAGACATGCAGTTCTCAAGTGAACTGCATTTAACTGCATGCAACTGCTTAAAGGGACCCTAATTACAGAGCACTGTCAAAAGTAATAGTGAACAAAACATAGGGGCTGCTATGCATGAACGTTTTCCAGAATCAAAAAAATTATTAAAAAAAATTATTGAATGTAGCATTCAGTTCAGTTGATTCAGAGAGCTTGATGTACTGAAGCTACATGTACTGTTTATTTGGTTTAGGTTAGACGAGCTTTCAGAAAGTCAACTATGCATCAGTTAAATTGAGAATTACAGTACATGACTTCTATTGGTGATCACAGAGCTTTCTTCCACAATTTCTACCACAGTTCAATATTGTAATTCAATACTTAAAATATTAAAAATCAAATCTTATGCATGTGTCAAGTGTATAAGCAAAAAAGAGTGAATTATAAAACAGTAACATGAAAATTTTGCCTTCTTACTTCTAGCAAAGTACTATTCCTTCCTCCTTTTTAAATATCAGATAATCTAGAGCCCTTACATAATTCCTAAACCAGGGGTGACACAAAACATTAGCTAAAGAGTGCTACACAAATAATTTGCTTTGTTTTATACAATAGTGGACACTGAGTCCATGCTACACAGATGCATTACAAAGAGAGATTCAACAAACTTGTAATGGCAGCACAAATAATTTAAGCATCACTCAAGTTCTGCAGTCAGTTACCCATTAATTTGGTGTATTCGTTCACATGAGTCAATCAGCTGAAGAGCTGAAAGCCAGAATTCATATTTGGCACATAAAATTATGTACATATGCTCATAATTGCATATAAAAAGATCATTAGCTCTTTGGATAAATTCTTAATTTGACAAACCATTCTCAAGTGTTTCTATACAGCTAAAACAACATTTTTCTAGACCATATGCTGGGATAGATATTGTTATGCATTAGAGATTGATAATGGAATTTGCTAACTTAACAAGGGCTAGTTTTATTTCTGTTACAATACAGTATTCTGCTCTGATATAATGCAATACTCAAAACTGATTACTACAGATTACTAATTCTATTTAAATGGAGATTATGCTTTTATTTGTATAAAATGTACCAGTTAAAGTAGTATGGTTAGATTTATACATGCAAGGAACTCTTGCATGTCACCTTTTTGCTGGAATTATCTGAAGCAAATTTACAGAGCAGAACAACTGGGGCTACTTAGAGTCATTCTAAATTAACTTTTCTGCCTTCAGGTCTCTGACAGGAAGCAAGTTTATTTCTACACAATGACAAAAACAGTACTTGATGTATTGGTTAGTGCTTAACTGCTAATAAAGCTTTTTGATCTACTAGACGTTGCTGCTATTTTCTGGGAGAGAAAAAAAAAGTATCTAAAACTTAGCTTGTATTGGAGTAACTGGAGTTTAATGGCATGTTAGTACTTCAACCCCTAACCTCAAACCTTTTTTTTTTCAGCTGAGAAGGAATGTTGTAATGGATCTATACTGATTTACAATGAATCTAGTCAGATGGCTTCCCTGACCTTTAAAAAATGGCATTAGCACAATCTCAACTTTAAGTATAGACACTAAAATTTATTTCACAAGTATTTGTTGAAAAGGCTGTCATCTAAACCAATACTTCTACGAACAGATACCAAATTCTTTTGACCACGTATTTGACTACTGCTAGAGACTGGCTCTCTAGGATTTCAAATCTAGGACAGATTTGAAAACTGTCTTATAACTAAAGATGGAAAAGACCAATGAGTATTTCTGTGGCTGAACTGAAGTCAGCAACACTAGAGGGGGAGGGAAAAAAGCCCTCTCACTAAAAAAGTTCAATTTCCAAAGCTTAGCTATAAAGTAAACACACCTTGTAATGGTTCTACAGATTGTTATCAGATGTATTTTCTAGAAGGCAAGAACTGCACTTCCTGCATACTTCTGAGGATGAAAGCTTTCTAGAGGATGCAGAGAGGAGGAGCAGGCTTCTTCCTTAAAAGCATACTCGATACAAATAGGACTTGCAATTAGAGTTGAAGTTATGTATCAAAAAAATCACATTTTAAAATATGTTTTGTGGCCAAAACAGTTAGTCTAATGCTGTGCTGAGTGACTGAAAACACTGTCAAAGCCATGATAATTTCAAATTCCATTAAAGGCACAACTGGGTAAAGAATTTGTGAAATGAATTCCCTACCAATCATTTTCTCTTTAAATGTATTATACCTCCACCGACATAGTCTTACTGAGTTTAACCACCACATGAATCTTGAGTTCAAACTACACTATTTGTATCAAAGAATATACATCCTTGGAAGATACAGGAAAATATGACCCAGGAAGACCTGATCAGTTTTTCTTCTGTACAGAGTCACAAACTCACTCTATGCAACTGGGTGTACTGACAAAATATGTTAACATCCTTGGCACTCTCTTATTCTGGAACAGCAAGTTGCAGTAACTATATACATTACTGAGGACTAAGGCATTTTTCTAAATTATGTGTATTGGGTGGAAATCATCTAAGCCATTTTTGGAAAAACCATGCATTGGCAGTCTGACATTCTGTCTTACTCTAGCAGAAGTTTGGCATGTGACTTGTTGGGAAAGTATCCACACCTAGCAGATGCAAATTCTGAACGTATTCTTGCATGATCCCAATTTTTCTCCCTGATCCTTAGGACTTCCGGCAATGTATTTTTACTTAAATGGATAATGCCCTCATTGTGACAAAAGTACTTCTGCAGGACAAGTTAAAATTATGTAACAATTGTTTTGGTTTGATTTTTTTGTGTTATTTATTTGTTTATTTACTTACTAAGAAGTCCTCTACTAACTGTCAGTAATAGTTTTTACTCATGGTTTGTCAACTGTCGGCTTTTTTAAAATCTGAACATAGGTCACCCTCCTGAGCACTTCTGGTTGCCTTCTTGTATTTCCTTGTTTAATTTTCAGATTGAAAAGACTGTTATGGAGCATATGTATTTTTTCATATGAAAAAAAAATTGGTTTAGAAGTGTCGCTTTAAAGAGCCACACTATAGTAGACCATGTATTCATAGGGGTGTAGAGAACCTTTGATTCCCATCTTAGTGCTCTTTCATATGTTACCCAGCAATGCTTAAAAAAACTTTAGTGTAACAGACATGCAAGAATCAATTCTTATTTAAGATAAAGCCTGAACAACACAAAGCTGGCACAGATGCTCCCCTTTAACCTCTGATATCAGAACTATATCACAAGCATAGCCAGACTTTGATACGCCATAAAGCAGACACAATAAAGTAGTTCTACAGCAGCTCTAAATTATACTGCTTTGCTTCTTGGCTGGCTTGGCATCAGAAAGAGAAGGATGCCTAGAGTCACCCTTCCTGACCTCTAGAGCCAAACCTATAAACTAGTAAAGGCTGAGTGCCACTGTTCTAAGTACTCTCTCTTGTTTAACGCAGGGGGGGACCAAACCAACAAAAAACCCAAAACAAACACCACCACCCACCAAAACCTAATGAAGACGAAAAGCCCTCAACTTTTCAGAGCACCTTTCTTGTCAGCTTCCACTATGACTCAAATTATAATGTGCTTGCAAAAAATGTGCACTAAGCCACCCAGCACTTTTGAAGATACCCATTAGATGCATCTTCTTTATGTCACTACATCAGAAATGTAGTTTTTTTGTTCTTTTACTGCAATCTATTGCTAGAGAAACCAACTGCTTAGGGTTTTAGAAGGCAGAAAACATTTTATTTATCTTAGAACTATATTCTTGGACAATTAGAACACCATAATACACTTCTAGTGCTAGTTAAATTGCTGTGGTTACAGCTGGGCTCAGATTAACTCCACAATAATCTTAGTGGTGAGAACTTCTGTGCAATGTACATGCCATTTTATAATACAATACTTAGAGAATCTGCCTGTGCTCTGATCAGCCCTGCTGCAAAACTGGAATTGAACTTCAACATCATTTACTTCATGCTGCAGTTATAGGGATATGGCAAAATGACAGTGAGGCTTTCATAAAGGCTTCTGATTATAGATATAGCCTATAATAATTGTTTTTGAACAGATATCTGTGAATTTCTAATCAAAATTTAAGAAAAGCTCAAAATATTAAAAAAAACACCCAGTTGTTCATAACAAATCTGTTACTAGTATTGAAAAACAAAAAAAGCCCCAAGCCCAAATCAGTAAAGATTTGTAGAAAGTGGGATTTTAGTTATATTTCTGTTTCAAAAGACTTTAAATTTTTAAGTCAATGTACAAAGTTGCAAGCTTAGATTTCATTTGCTTTACATAATTTGTTACATTTTCATCAGTAAGAGGTAACTAAAGCTCTTTTCATCCTAATAATCAATTCTACCCGCAGTAATGGTGTATTCCAGTGCTTTCTATCATTCCTTTTGAATATTATTACTTTATATTCTCTGCGTAAAATAGTATCTGTATGTTACTGATTTAAGTCATTCAGATCTCACACTAGACTGAAAAGAATCACACACAGATGTTTAGTCAAAATGGAGAAAGCAGAATGCAAAAAGTCATCTTTAAAGCCTAAACCAAAAAATAACTTCTATGCCAGGCATTGCCTACAGAAGTACAATACTGTTATTTTAAAAAATAAGTAATATTTTTATAATTCAGCAGGTTTTTAAATAATTATTATATACTGGTTCTCTGAGGTATTCTGAGTTATCTCCTTTTGCCAGACTACCAATGAAGCTAGCATTATTTATTTACACTTATTACAATGTGAAATTAAGGCACTTCTGCAATCAAGATTTACAAAGTCTTAGTAAAACGAACAAAAACCTTACCACCAACATCTATGAAGTGCTTTGCAGCTAAACCAGAACGTGGTGCTAGAAAACAAGACATTTTTTTGTAAGTATAAAAAATTATTTCTTTTAAAACTCTTACACAATATTTATAGGGTACATAGTGTGTTTGCACAGAGTCATGGCAGCAAGAACTGTTTCCACAGTCTTTCTAAAATAAACACAATTTTACAGGAACAACTCTAAGTGTTAATGTATATATTAAACAAAATAACAGCTGCTACAGGCTACAATAAAATTGCAATTTTTAAGTGATACAAGGATATCTTTCTTTAGACCACCAATTGCAGAGTAGGTTTCTCCAAGGAAGGCAGCTGGAGCAGACAATGATTATCTAATCTTGGTTTATTTTTGGCGGCTACCACCGGTTTGGAATAATCTCAAAAGACTATTAGGTCAATCCATTCAAGTTATGATGGAAAACAGGATTTGGCAAGCAATTTACTAAGGAATATTATACATGGCTAAATTAAATGATGTGCATGGTTTTCTTTTTACTTGCCTTAGCCTACTTCGATGAGGTTCTAAAATGTTACTCTCTTCAAAATTTTCTTTGTCTGGGATAAGAGAAATGCATATGCATTCTCCCTTTAGATGAAAGGACATGGCAAACTCTGACCGCATTCTTCCACTGGAGTGGCTATTGCTTTTTTACTTTAAGAATTTATACATAATTCAGAAAAAGAATGTGCAGAACATAACAAAATATCTTGTACAGGTTCTCTCAAGTATTCTGTCACAAAAAGTAGTCAAATTCTACTACACTAGTACTCTTACTTTAGGGTTAATTTTTAAACATCCAGGGGGTATTTTCGGTATGTTCATTACCTATTGGTCTTTGATGCGAATTCTGAAACTGCAGAGAAATAATGAACTCTTGCATAGCCTATAAAGTTGCATGTAGATTATGAAAATTTTTGCTAATCATCTTTTTGTCCTTTGACATACACCAAACCCCAAACGTATTTGACAAGAAATGTCTATTACAAGACTTAATAAATCACACAGTTACGACATCTCTTTTTTTGTGTAGACTAATTCTAAAAGCTTTAGGCAGAATCTAAATGTGAAGATGGCATCAAACCTATTCTACAATGACTCTGCAGCCTTTTTATAGCCCATTTACTTACCTACTCTGCCATAGCATCCAGAAGGAAGTTCAATTTGAATGTCTGTTTTCACTACAGCCTTTTCCATAGGTGGTATCACACAGTCATAGGCACTACATCAAAGAAAGAAACACTAGTTTATATAGAATACTTTGAAAATTTTCTTCTCTGTAACTTAAGGTACAAAATCACCCAGAATTATTCTTGCTGGGAATTTATACCATGGAATTTATACAGGAAATATTTACAGATTTGCAAAATCTAATGCAGATTTTAAAACACAAGATATTCCCATTTTGATGGTGCTAGCTTAAGATTTCAGTAGTGTCATTTGAACAGCACAGTCTTAAGATTGCTAATTTTAAACGTAACTGGTAAGATAGACAAAATATACAAGTTTAACTCTAAATTAACCATTAGGTGAATGGGGTTGTGTAATTTTTGTGCAAAAGCAGGAACTTTACGGATAATACTCTTCTGATTAAGCTTTCTACAGCAGATGAACTAGTTGTAATCAAAAATAATAATCTATTAAGTTAAATCTTAGGCAACAATTATTTTTTTTCTGAGCAAGTCAGAAGTTCACAATTCACATGATTCTGTTGGGAACTGCAAACCAGAAAGATTTCAAGAAATTTCTGATGCTACCTAAATGGAGGCTTAATGAAAGGCAGTAATGACAATACCATGGTGAGACTGTTCTACTTAAGGCAAGCATATCTTGGCCTTGAAGAAGAACTGATTTTTAAACACTGGGGAGTATGGAAAGGTTTTTTGTGAAACAGACTTGTTCCAGGTGCACAGTGCCCCATTGGAACAAGAACAAAAACCTGTCAAGACAAAAGGAATGCAAAGGGAAAGCGTCAAGTGTGGTGAAGCAAAGCTTCAGGAACGAAGTTGGATAAGTGAAGAAAGAAAAAGACATGCTGATTATTCCAAGTAATACTAAAAAAGGAAAGGTAGAGGAGGTTGCAGTGGAGTTCAGATATAACTAGTGATTGTATTTGATCACAGAAGCACTGCGCAAACAACCACAAGCTTAGCTGTAGATATTCCTGAACATAGTGAAAACCTTTGAACAATGGTTATTGCCAGTTCAAGCAAATCAAAACTTAAGTCTGTACAGCAACCCATGTTTCTGGCTAGGAGATTTATCAAACTTCCTTTGGCAGGTAGCACCCAACAGCCAAGAGGAAAGCAGAAAAGCATAAGCGCTGGCAGGGAGGGCCCACATGCACTACCATTTTCTTCTTTCAATAGGAAGGCACCTAGTCAATGCTGGTGCCAATAGCAACTCAGGCTGACGTGTCAAGCCTGACTTTTGGCAAACAGCTGCACCGCTACCTGACAAAATTGGTGCTGCAGCACGACTGGAGCACAGATCTCTGGAAATTAAGGGAGGGGGATGGAGGAGCAAGGGAACTAACGAACAGGCCAGCTCTGGCCTCCTCTTCTGCAGGGCCGGCAAGCCTCACCGACGGGCTCTGCTCAGCAAGGGGCTCGCCGAGCAGGACGGCAGCGCCTCTCCCTGAGGGGAAACGGGCCGGACAAGAGCGTGGCGTGGGCTTCTCCCCTGGGTGAGGTAGCCTCACCTGTACAGATCATAGCCTCACCTGTACAGATCATAGCCTCATAGCCTCACCTGTACAGATCATAGCCTCACCTGTACAGATCATAGCCCGCAGCTCGCGCAGAGCCCCTGGAGGGGGCGGAGGCGTTCTCGGACAGCTTAGTGAAGCGGAGCCGTGGCGTGGGCTGCTCGGGCACCGAGCCCTTCAGCCTCTTGCTGGGGGATGGCTGCAGGACGGTCTCGGAGAAGGGCATCGCTGAGCGAAGACGGGAAGGCGAGAGAGACCCGCTGTGAGGGGAAACGAGAAAGCCCGCGAAAACCTGCACGGCCCTCTGAAGGCGGAAACAGAGGGGGAAATCCCTCCATCCCCGGCCGCTTTCTGCGCGGAGCACCCTTGCCACCCCTCGCCGGTGAGAATGGCCTCGCCCGGCTCCTCCTCAGCGCCCGACTCCCCGGGCCCTCACGACGGGGTCATTCGCCGTGC